TACATTAATTTTTAGAAGTTATTTGTTAAATGTTTTCTTTTAATTTTAACAAAATTTTATGGTCATGTATATTGGCTTGAGAAAGGAGAACTTATTTTAAGGAAGGAGTTATTTGAAAAAAAATCCAGTGTGAGGGTTAATATTTTGGCAAGAATTAACAATTTCAATTTCAAGAATTTTTTTATCTAAGTTATTTTTTCTTTTAATAGATACAACATTTTTTAGATTGAAACTGTAGTTGAAATTATTTCTGTGTGTAACTAATGCACTGGAAAAATTGTTATGTAGAAGATTTTTCTTATGTTCCTAAATAAATATTTTTTTTTACCATTTCTGCAAGTTTCAAGGACACTTAGGAAAATTTTCTGTGAGTAAAAATTGTTAGATTTGATTTTCTATATGCCTGCTTCACAATTATTGTTATTATGAACATTTTTGGTTCTGATTAATAAAATATTAAGATTAGATTTATTATAGACTTTATCAGCCTTCACAGATGTTGGGTTTGATAGACTCTTCTGTCTGGACTGCCAGTGAGGTTTTGTAGATTGAATTGTTCTTTGCCTGGTCTCTCATCCTTCACCTTGATGCCCTGGGTTGCTCTACTAGAAACTAAGCTTCTGACAGCATCACTCTCAGAATCATTGTGACATGCAAGCTTCTTCACCATGGAAACATGATGATCCAAGAAGCAGACAAAAGCAAATAAGGTAAAAATCATGTATCAATCATATCCAACTGAAACAGTCAGGATGGAACCAAAGATCCAATTTGATGAAACAGTCTTTGAGAATGTGGATCATTTTGCTTATCTTGGTAGCCATCTGTCTTCTAGCAGTGACCTTCAAGATCAGATACAAGACCAGTTCAAATGTACAGGATCAGTTTTTGATCACCTTTGAAATAGAGTTTTCCAAGATCATGACATTCAAACAGACACCAGACTGTTAGTATACAAAGTAGTAGGGATTCAAACTCTCCTGTATGCCTATGAGACCTGAACAACTTATTGACAACATCTGAAATTCCTTGAAAAATTCTACCATCATTGTCTTCAAATTATCTTTAACATCAGTTAGGAAGACAGAAGAACTAATATCAGTATACTGAAACAAGCTAAAATGACCAGCATTGAAGCTATTGTCATAAAACATCAACTTCAAAGAAGTGGAAATCTGGTGCAAATGGATGACACCTGTCTACCAAAGCAAATCTTTTACTCCCAAACATGACCAACTAGTATTATACAGTCCCACATAACAAGCTAAATTCTAACAGGCCAATGTAATGTAAACAAAAAAAAAATGTGAGTGGCCACATAGAAAATTGCTAATCTAAAAAGGAGTTAACTTTAAAAATTGAACTATTAGAATGTAAATTAACAATGTGCAATTACATAGAATTTTTGTAAATGAACACTATTAGGTAAATTTTCTACCTTATAGTCCACTGCATTTAAAGATTAAATTATAGACTTTGTTGTGATATTTTGTTTTATAAAAATGGTTAATAAATGTGTTGCATTTGGCTGTTCTAGTGGATATGTTAATTCTTGTGGTCTGTTTAGAGGCCAGAAAGAAAGACACGGAAGATGAAGGTAGGTTGAACAAGTATATTGAAATAACAGAACATATATACAAAGCAAGCGTGTTAGTAATAAGCAGTTAGAAGTGTACATCTAAACGGTAGGTTAACACTGCATCTCTCCTCCCCAACCAACTGCTCAACAACTCTTGCTAGGAAGTCTTGCAGTTAGTATTTAGGAGGAGAAAGAGTTCATTCTACTGTAAGAGGGTTTACTACAACATTAATAACAGTGAAAAAGTATTAATATTTTCTTTTCCTCTCAGAAAATTCAACTTTGTAGAAAAATGGATAAATTTTATTAATCATATTGATTGATTTCCTATGAAAAATTCAGTTCTCTGTATAAAAAATTTTGAAAAGAAAGCAAAACAAACTGAATTGGAATTTACATCTAATACCTACAATACATTCAGAAAGAAATAAGGAAACCGTCTCTTTTGCCAAATGCAAGGGAATCCAAAAAGCCTCCAAAACAACAACTGATCAAAATTGATGAATTACATGATTTTATTTCAGCTGATACAATAAAAGATTTTACTCAATTGGAAGAAGCAAAGGATTGTCCTAACAGTTTTGAATTTAAAAAAAAAAAAAAAAGAACTTATATTCTAATTTATAGAATAGTTTTTGTCATTGAAACACATTTTCCATCTATAAAAGAATGTATTCACATTGACCAAAATCTTCAGCTCCAGTGCGATAGAACTCCTATACTGTTACCACAGTGGTTTATACATAAACATAATGCTAAACTCACAAGATTTAGCATGTTAGAAAATTTTCCAAACTACAGACAAAATGTGGTGGAAGAACAACCATACTCAATTCTAAAAGAATTACAAAAAAGACAAGATTACCAACCAAGAGGTCGTCCTTCATTTACTGCAGAATGAATATGTCATGCCTTACTACTGTGCTACACATCTCAACAAGCCTACAAATTACTTCTGGAGAAATTTCCATTACCATTTTTTTCTTTATTAGAAAAAATTCAAAAAAATTAATTGAACATTTTCAATGTGAAATGTATTCCCTGCTCATGGTAGGCAATGATAGTAATGATGCTACAGAGAAGCAGTACTTAGAGAGTTTGTTTATACTTGTTTAGCGATATTTGACTATGCAGATAAATTTATTGCAAAATATAATGAATCTGCTACAAGAGAAAGAATTTTGGAAATTTATTCTCCAAAATATATTTTTACTTGTGAACAACACACTGAAAAAGGAATTCATTTTGAAACAAAAATTGTTGTGAATATATTTTAAAACAACAAATGAAAGTTTTCATCAGATGAAGTCCAAAAAAATATTGTAGAATGTTTTAAAAAAAGGCAAAGGCCAAAAGAAAATTGATTTAGAGAGAAACTGTTGGTTAAGTTTTATCACTTATATTTATTTAGTTCTTTAAGAACTTTTTTGTTTGTTTACAATCTTTTATTATTACTTTTCTGCTTAAAAAGAGAAAAACCTGTTTGTACATTTTTGGATGGTTTTAACATGTTTTAGATAAAATAGACATAAACAGACTATAAACCAAATAGGCTTGTAAGAAATTAGCCTGAAATGTTGCATGTGAGGCCCATATATATTAGTGAGGCATGTCCTAACTCAAAGAAGGAAATCAGAAAAGAGGAGGTCAAAAGAAGGCATTCAAGAACATTCTAAAATAAAACATGAAGAAATGTAACATTGAAATTAATAGTTGGGAATCCTGTGCAATAGACAGGAACCTCTGGAAATCTATTCTCAGAGATGGAACAAAAATCTTCAAATCCAAATCATCAGCTGAACTAAAGGAAAAAAGAAGCCATCAAAAAGAAAGACAACAACCCCCAAGGGCTAAGCCAGTATCCGGAAAGAACCTGCCCTCAATGTCAAAGACCCTTTCAAGCAAAAATTGGTCTAATTATCCATCTCAGGGTCTACTGACCCAACTGACCAAGGCAAACAGAACAAAATGATCATCCTCAACCCCACTGAGAACCATGATTAAGCTTAAATATATTATTTGGAATATTAGATGTTAAGGAGGTGGTAGATAATATTACATTATAGAGGATTTTCTAATTGAAAATTTGGAAACTTAAACCTATTTTATTTTTCCCCATGTTACTTCTGTGCAAAAAAAACATGCACTAAATAACATTTGTACAATTGTCTAGATAGAGTTCCTCAAGGAACCAAATACATTGGCATAAAAGGTTTTCCTCATTTTTTTTTTTTTTATATATATATATATATATATATATATATATATATATATATATATAAGATATGGTATTTAGACAGCATATCTTCATTCAAACATGTCTCAATGAATAATTTTTATTTTAATAATAATCCTTTCTAGTTCGCTAGAAATTCCTACACTTGCCTTGATGAAGTCCCTCAATGAACCAAATACACTGGCATAAAAGCTTTTCCTCATAATTTTATTTTGGATTTCTCTGTATCCTTGGAAACGTGAATTATGATTTTTGCTGTGCCTTTAAAACCCAGTAATTTAAAAGTTATTCCAAAATTCACTTGAGGATGGAATGGAACTAATGTCTTTAATTTAATTACAAAATTAAATTCAAAGCTTTTAGCTTCCATTTTTGAAACATGGATAGAAATGTGTAGCAAAAAAAAACATATTTTAAATCAATTAATTTATAATATTAATGCTCTGTAAATTTACATTGAGCACTATTTTGTAAAAATAAAAAATATCTATAAGAACACCGGATTATATATCTTACTGTTCTTTCTTTTTATTTATATATATATATATATATATAGATATAGATATAGATATGATATTTAGGCAGCATTTCTTCAAACATGTTTCATTAAATAATAATTATTTTTATAATAATCCTTTCTAGATCGCTAGTTTCTTGATGTTAAGATGAAATTCATCAAGGAAGGTGCTGTAGATTTTTCCTACCCAAGTACTTTCGATCTCCTCCAAAATCATCCTCAGGGGTGAATTAAAAAAACAAACTTATTGTAACTGTAATCGATGTGATGGTGATTTTTAAAAAACACATGTAAATGCGTTCTGTAATAATTATTTTAAAATTAAATTTAAGTATATATGATAAAGATATAGTTTTAAGATATGCTATATTTATGGATAAAAGTGCTCAATATCAGAGATAGAGTGTATGTAAATATAAAAGTGCCTGAAAATTATGTTCAAGTATGAAACTAACGGTTACCACTTGGTGTTGACCTCAGTATCCACTTTTATTTTATGTATATATATATATATATATATATATGAACATTGAGGTCAACATTCAGCATCAAACATGGATGATTGTGTTTGAGCATGAAACTCACTACTGCATGTTGACCTCAATCTCCACTTTTATATTTACATATGCTTTATCCCTAATAATGAGAACTTTAACCCATAAATATAGTATACCAGTTCCCGTACAATCACCAAAGATAAGCAACATTGAGCCTGGCAAGAGCTTAGATGGGTGACCACTTAGGAATACCTGGTGCTGTAAGCTTGGATTTTTAGGTGGTGTAATGGATAAGGGCATGAATTGTTAATCAGAGAGCTGAGTTTCAATTCCCATTATGTTCACTTACATAAAAAAACCCTTGGAAAAGGTATGAACACACCTCTTTTTCCCCAGCTATGGGTTAATTAGTAAGATTTGTATCACTAAACCATTATTATCTCTAAAAAAAAAATGCTTACAATCTAAAAATATTTTCTGGCTTTAAATACCCTACAACTCATTGATTAACTGTACAACCATCCCTTCCACCCAACATTTCACCATAAATTTAAGAAAGTAAAATAAACAGATATATCCTCACAGACACACACAAACCTTTATCCTTTCTATGAATATATTTATTCACTTTATTTTCCCATCAAATAATTAAAATAAAAATGTTAGATTATATCCAAAAATATTGAGTATCTCCATGCATGCTTTTCAAATTACCTTCATTTTTTATGGACACCTTAGCACATATACAATTTCAGGAATATACTTACCTATTACCTACCCTCATATAAAAGCAGACATAGTTATAAATAAAATGCACATCACAGATATCTACACCCACACATGCATACACCAGTTGTGTGGGCAGTTTGACGTTAACACATGCAAACCAAGAGAGACAAAGGTATTTCTTTAATTGTCAAAAACACCCACATAATTATATAGTCAGACAGGGGATTTGTACAAATGTATCAAACAGTATATAGCTTATATATATATATATAATATTACCTAAGTATTAACTCCTACTTACTTGTATATACACAGATACTCCTACACAATCACAAAAGCTGACTGTCACCTACACAAATTTCTTATGCTGTTCTTTATTTATAAGCATATATACAAGACTGCATCTATAAGTTTAGAGCTGAAAATGTAGTTATTACTTGAAATTTTCACTGTATAGTGTTTACTTTAAGTATTCATTATTGAATTAACTGCATTGACAAAAAAGAAAATTATGTAAATATTTCTTCTAAAAACATGTATTTTTTCTTCATTGGTCTATAGACTTATTATTGTACCTGTGAATATTTCCTATAAACACACATTATAGAGGGTATAAGATGGGGTGCTGAAAATTTCTAAGCGCAAACAAAGTTGGTTCCCTGTACCGTGCCAGACAATTTTTCTTGCCCAATTCTAATCTTACGTATTTACAAGTCTACCATTCATCCATGTTTAGAACATTACTGCCACATATGGTCTAGTGCTCATTCTACATATTTAGTGATCCTTGATAAAAACCAAAGAAGAGTCTGCAATATCATTGGTTCTGGCCTAGCATATCAGCTTCAGTCACTTTCCACCACCATAACATAGCTTTCCTGTGCCTTTTCTATAAATACTTTCATAATAATTGTTCTGATAAACTCTTTTCTATGGTACTTAGACTCTATGAAATTTAGTGCAGTATTAGATTGGCGGCAAGGTCTCATCATTTTACAGTTCAAATGTAACCATAAGATCTATATTATTAGTTGTATTTCTGTTCACCTTACATATAAGAATAATTCCATCATTTCCTGTATAAAGGCTGATCGATATAAAGCAAAGTGGGTTTACCAGTGGTTACCACCATAAGGGGATGCAGGTTTAAACACTGCCAATGGGCATATTTTCTTTAAGACTCTCAAATGCACAGGCCAGTAGATATAAATTTAACATTGCATAAAAAACATAAGTCTACTTAAAAATGTGTATGTACTAAATACAATGTTTAAAGTAATAAGAAATTACCTATATATATATATAAAAATATAGTTTTAAGTTATGATATATTTATGGGTAAAACTACTAAATATAGAGTATATTTGAAATACAACTTTTACCACCTACCTAAATGTTAAGATAATATAACAGATTTCCTTACTGACCAGCATATATAAATATTTGTGCTAACAAACAATACACATGTCCTGAAGATTGTGTTCAAGCATGAAACAGACTGTCACCACTCAGTGTTAATCTTAGAGTCCAATTTTATATTTCATATACATATATAAATATATATATATATATATTCTGTTTATACATCATTTTTATAGATACAAATATTTAAGTAAATACTCTGATTATAATAAACATTATGTTTGTTCAACACCCACAAAGCCCACCTGTAGTTTATACTGCAACTATGCTGAGTAGACCCTAGTTACAGTTTCGGGGAAAGTAGCATGATCAACAATTTGAACAAGGACACACATGCTCAATCCTTCAGTCACGAAGACTTGTGACTTCATGCTAGCATAGCTATCAATAGCACCCAAGGGTTCCGTCTACCCAATTTCACTCACAAGGCTTGGGTCAACCTGTGGTATGGTTTTCAGGCACTTTCCAAAGGTGCCGCATGCTGAGATCAATCCATCCAGTCTGATAACATCAGGAACTCTACTTCCTAACAAGTCTCATGGTCAGAATGTGAACATTCTAACCAATTGGCCATGTGCCCATGCTCACAATACACAACAACTTATTTGAAAATTGGAAAAATACAATAAAAAATGAAACAGACAGACCATTTTAATCAAACTTGTTTGGATATCTATATAATTATATAAAGGTTTTTGCAAGAAAAATGCTGATTAAGATGTCCATATTCATCAGGTATAAAAATCTGCCTGGAAGAATTTGGGGTTGACCTAAAGAATACTGGTTAAAAGCTTGAAAAAGTATGTTAGTTTTAGTAGATTTCTTGAGCTTTACAGAAAATTTTCTGCAATTTATACCAATTTTTCCCAAAGTGCCCAACATGAATGTAAAAAACTGGAGTCTTGGCAATCACTCTCTTAAAACATATATATATATATATATATATATATATATATATATATATATATATATATATATGGTGGTAATGGGAAGTTCTTAAACATGATGTGAAATATACCATTCAAAAGAAATGCTCATCCAGCTGACACTAATTTATCCCCAGCCTACTGAGTCAGTTTATCATTTGACTTCATGCTATCTACTCATATTCAAATACTACATAGGTTCTTGTATCATAAAAATACAGTTGTAATTTCTAGGCACATAATGAGGAAAGAAGGCTTAGAAAATTTGGCACACACAGAATATATTGAAGGCAGTCAGGACAGAGGAAAGTAGCAGATAACTTATATAATGAGCTTATGTAAATGCTGGGCAGAACAGGGATCAGGAGAGATAACAAAAGACAAATTTTACTAAGAGCTACAAAGGACAGGAAGTTGTGGAAAGCCATGATCACCCATGTTCTAAAGGGATTTGGCATTTAGAAAAAGGAGAAACTACCATTTTGTCTACAAAATAGTAAAGCATACTGAATTAAATAGTGGTTTCCCCTACAAAGGGGGACACAAGTCCTGTCCCTGGTAGACAACACATTTTATATAAGTAGATTTCTCAAATGTGTAGACCAATAGATGTCATGCACATACTGTTCAATAAATTAAAATAGCGCATTCAAATACAAAGTGTCCACTATAATAACGTTTTATATTAATAAATATATATATATTTATTACAAGTTGTTCCACACATTGAAAACGCATATGAAAAAAAGCAAACATCATATGATAGGACAAAGAAGGTCTTGCTTGCAATGTTTCTAGAAGTGGTACAATCTGCCTGAGGGACACTATTTACGTTCCTTATTTAGGATATATAGCAGTCACTTGTTCTCCTAAGCACGGCCGGTACTAGGGTCTCGCCCATAAAATCTTTGATACGGTGTTCAAGCATGCTACTACATGTCAATTTCAAAGTTTCCAAACCTGGGGGCCACAAACCCTTGAAGGAAAACTGCAAGGGAAGGGTAGTGCTTTTTTTTAAATTACCAAAAATCAGGGAATTATCCAATTTAAATGAAAATTTCAGTACATATTAACTATTTACATTTATAATGAATAGTTGTTTTTATATTAAAAAAATCTGAGAAAATGCTATTCTTTTTGTAATAACCATCAATATTTTAAGGACTAAATTTTACACAAAAAAATTTGTTTAAGTTGCAAATTTTTACATTTCCATAAAAATTAATCACCGATGCATCTCCACTGAGGGAAAAAGTTTGACAAAGATTGCAACACAACACAAATGGGATTGTCTTAAAAATTTGTTTTAAAAACAGTATTTCAGTTTTCAGGAAAATTTTTGATGTATTGAAATCTTTGAATATTTTTATTTTTTAAAGCAATCATTTTCTTGGTTTTATCTTTCTAGAAAAGTAAAAAATAGGGACTAGAAATTTTATTTTAATTACTAACTGTGAACTTATAGTTAGTATTACTACTAGTAAAAAAAAAAAATCAGAGATCTTCCTTAGTGGATGATCTCAGAATAAAAAATGATTTTACCAAGATATATTAATTGATTTATAAAGAACTGTTCAGAAAGAAAATTATAAATTAAAAAAATAAGCACTACTGAAATTAGCAAATCTGTACCCACTCCCCCCCCACACACATGGTTGAGAGGTTCAGGGTATTAAGCACCATCCCTATTGATTATCATAGTTGATGATTGACAATATAACTTTAGTAGAAAAAAAGTAAAATGTACAAAAAGCAAAAAAATCCTGCTGAAACTAGCCCTTTTGGGACTTCAACCTCATTGTGGGTTCCTGTGTAGTACGCACCACATTGGCCATGGAGATGCACAATGTATATTATTAGTTGATGACTAACAATGTAACATCAGTTTAAAAATAATTAGGAAAATGGTGGATGGCCATAAAACAGTGCTGAAAAATAATGACAGAGGCCACAACGGGCTCAAAAAAAATGTGCCTTCACCCACCACCCACAGTCAGAGATAAGACACACCAGCCCTGCTCCTCAACACTGTGGGCTATCATATCTGTCTTCTTTGCAGTCTAAGCTGTAACTCATGACCAATCTGTTTCTATCAGGAGGTTTTTTTTTTTTTACAATGATGTTCACTCTGTTCAATGACTGGGAGCCACTCAAGGTAGAGGGTTACAGAGTAAGAAGCACAGTTTAT